CAGGATTCTGCAAACAAATCCCAATATCGGGCTTCTACTCTAAAAATAATAAATTAAAGAAGTTTTTGAACTATAGATGTTTTTTTTTTTTGAAAATATATTTGTAGCTTGCCAGTAAAAATGTTTTTTATTCCAAGACGTGCACAAATTGAGATGCTTAAAATGTAAAAATTTTGCTTCATGTGCAAATGGGTTCAAATGACATAAAAAATGATAGCCTAATACGGCGATGACCTTTAGGATTTTCGAATATTTTCTTTTTTATATCAATAATAAAAATTAAGATTGCTCGTTTAATTACAGATAAAATAAAGTATTTGCTAAAAAAAAAACAAAAATTCATTTAGTGTTTTATTAACTATTTACAGGATCCGTTAAAAGCCAAAGATTGCAATAAAAAAGTTCGCCGCTGTACAAACTCGGTTAGGAACAATTTTGTCGATTTAAGTGATGAGGTAATCTCCATTAGATCTCATACTGTGCCATTCTCATTATATTATACCGTTTTCAAATTTTCAGTTAATAGATGAAAATAGTAATTTATCCGCCAATGAGTTCCTTAAATCTGAAAGTAATTACCAGGCAATTGTAGTTGCCTATCAAAATCAACCACGTCTATGGGATCCGAAAACATTCCCAAATAAGTTAACCAATGATGAACGAAATGCCTATTTGAAAAATATGGCATTAGAAATAAAAAATGTACGAAAAGTAGAACTGGAGACAACTTTCATTGCTGACCTTATACGTCGTATTCGCAACGAATATGGAACCAAATTGAAACGTTTTCAAACAATTGACCAACGAGATGTTGCTGTGAAAAATAAACTGGTACCAGATTGGTATTTCAAGCAATTGTCATTCTTACAACCGGTAATGGATCGTTTCTCAATTGGCCAAATAGCTTCCAATGGCATACACTTGAAAAAGAGGCAAATCATACAAATTCTTGGGATATATGAGAAATTTCCGTTTTTATGGAATACCTCAATGGCCGAAAATGTGTGTTTCAATAAACGCCAAGAGGCTCTGGAAGCAATGTCGAAAACAATACAAAAAGAAATGGACCTGGAAATTGAGAGTACTGCACTACAACAATACTTGGATAGTATTCATTCACATTTCAAAAAAGAGAAGACTATGGTACTCGAAAATCTTGGAAATACAACGGACAACAATTCGTTGTATTATGATTACATGAAGTTTTTATATGATCATGTTGCACCTTTTAGCTGTCAATTTTGTAAACGAAAATATCGGAGTGCTCTACAGATAAAGGCACACATCTATAAGAATCATCACCGTGATGATCCGCTACAATGTCCAATATGTAAAAAGAATTATGAACAGGTGGAACCGTATATTGCTCATGCCAGACGTCATATGAATGACTTACGAAACGAATGCAAGGAATGCGGGAAACTGTTCATACGACCTGCCGACCTGCGTTTGCATATGCGCTTACATTCCGGTTCAAAGCCATATTGTTGTGAAATATGTGGTTCCTCTTTTACTGGGCCCTCGACACTGCAAATTCACAGACGTCGTCACGAAAAACGATATACCGTATATTGTGAGATCTGTTCCAAGGGATTCTATATGAAGAAAAATTTGCGCGATCATATGACTAAACACACCAATATACGACCACATGTATGTGACATTTGTGATAAGGCATTTAAAACACCGGCAAATCTGAGAAATCACAAAGCGACGCATGAGGAAGGTCGCAAACATCCGTGTCCGTTGTGCGGGAAAATGTTCAAGAATAAGATTGGCGTTCACCATCATTTACGAACGCATCGTGGAAATGTTGGGACTACATCGAATTAAAAAAAAAAAATTAAAATTATTATTTTAGGTTTTTAGTAATTACCATTGTATTGTAATTATTATTACTAAAAAATTTAGTTGTAATTGTGATAAACGAGGAGCTAAATGTAATATTTTTTTATTTTAACAGATTTTCTTAATACTAATTCCTTTATTTTTTTATTTCATTCAGAAAAGGGCAACATAAAAAATTGTTGCAAGAAACCAGACCTGTTTATTAGGCCATGCAGTAAGGCCAGCTGATATCTAAATTTTTGACAAAACATTTGATTTCGAATTATGTTTTTTATTCGAAATCAAATGTTTTGTTGGCCAAAAAAAAGGTATCAAGGTTTATTCCAAGCAAGATCTATATATGAAGGTCATCCAGTTAGTGCGGCTCAAGGTATATTTAATAAGGTAGTCGCATCGACCCAGCTGTTGGACAAATAAATGTCAAAAATGTTGTTGTAATGTTGAACCAAAAAATTAAAAAACAAAAGTATAAATGAAAATCTCCGAATTTCGAATAGCTTTTTTGGCAATACTTTTATTAACATTTTCTACAAGAATTTGTGTAAAAAAAGCTTGTCAATCTGTTTGTTTTGGCAAAATATTTTTGACATATCAAAATACAACAACCGATGTTTGTTGTAGAAATTCGCCGATGCGGCTACCTTGTATATCTACCTTGGTGCGGCTCAAGGTTTATTCTTAAGGTTAATAAGAAGGCGAATTCGAAGTCTTGAAGAAGGCGAATTGACTGTCAAATTTATTGTTTGAAGAATAAATAAACAAAAAAAATTTTATTCGAACCAAAATATACGTGCACATTACTATCATTACGTTTTATTGAAAGATATTTTGAGTTTTTATCCTGTTCTGGTTGGTATTTCGCGATTAAAAAGTTGACAGAGAAGACTAAGGCATGAATTCGCCTGTCGGTTAACATTTGGTCTGTTCCCGTACTGCAAGAATCTACTCGATTTTACTATTTTCTTCGATATCATAAAGGAAAATTCGTTATCGTAGTAAAAAGTAGTAGATTCTTGCAGTACGGGAACAGACCAATTATTAATAAACCTTGGTGTAGCTGATATCTACCTTTTTTGTCAAAATATATAAAATTCAAAAAATTACCATAGTTAGCTTTGTTTAAATGTTTGTCTTAGTCCTGATTTATATTAGGCGAGTATACTTGCGGCAATTCTTATCGTTCTCTTTTGAACTTGCTTCATGCGTCTATACAAGGCAATTCGGTTGCAAACATATATTTTCTGAATTGAATTATTTTTTCTGAAATAACACTACAAACCAAATACACAAAACGAATTGCCAGGAAATTGTCGGTACGAGCAATTTTTTCCATTTCTATTCCCCTTGCCCCTCTCTCCAGCAATCAAAGACTTGCGGCAAGTAAACTCGATTAATCTAAATTAGGACTTAAAATACACAAAATGCTTATCGAATTTATTGAAAAAGCAATTATTTATAAAAATAAAAGAAGTGTTGTGTTAAAAATTTATTCTGCGCGCTTAAAAAGTGCAAAATAAATCGAAATGTTTTAAAAGATATTTTCGCCACAACAACAACTTCTGGCAGAAAATGTAGATAAAGGGTTGTATATTTCCTGAAAATCGCCTTCTGATACCAGATATTTGGGCCATGGGTAAGCTATCGGTTGTGTTGGGTACCAGGACATTGTGACATCTTGGGTAATGAAAGAGCGGACGAACTAGCTGGGCGAGGATCTCAATCCACAGATCTAGCAACTGATTACTCAACCAAACCACACATATGTCATTTTTACCGGCACTTTGAGGCATTCTTTGTCGAATGAGCCTATGATCATTGGCACAACGAACCTAGGTGCAAAGTGAATCATTACTGGTCACTGCATATCAGGGCTTTTTCTAGTAAATGGGATCTTGATGCAATTGATTACTGTAGACTCTGTGTTGACGAGGAGGAGACGGAGACAATGGAGCATCTCTTGTGTCACTTCCCAGCCCTGACTTACAGGCGGCACAGACTAGTGGGTGCTCATTTTCTACCGAGTCTTAGCTTCTTCTCAACAACCGAACCTGCTCTAATCTACAGCATAATTAAAAACCTAAAGTGTTTAGGAACGTGCAACCTTGACACGTAACACATCTTCTGTCTGATTCCTATAGCCATCGACCTTATTCCAATCTTACCTTTTTTGTATCTTTCTGTAAGCTTCTCATCTCCCTTTATTTCCCCAATCTTCTCTCTCCTATAGATCTGTCCTTTTCTCTTTTCTTCTCGTGGATGAGACCGCTTAGGTCCAGAGTGCTGCAGCCACATAAGTGACTGCACATCCCCAAACCTAACCTACGGTCCCTGCTAAAAAGTCTACAAAATTACAAAACAGTTGTTCTGTTTTGTTTTGACTTCATAGTCGATTCATTACCCTTTGCATTACCAGTAACTAACGAATTGGTATGATGTGTCTAAACAACTTTTTCAATCTACAAATGTCAATTTTTGGGGTATAAAGTATCTAGATCACCAAGTAACTAGCCATATAACTATATAATAGCAGACAATTGATATTTTTTGTTATAAATTATACAATTGCACTTGGGGAAAAGAAATAAACCGATAATCCTCTATTCTGGTGAAATATTTAATAATATTTCCATAAAATATATTTTATAATTCCTCACTTATGAAAAAGTTTTTTATTTCGGAAAACTTTGTAACTTCGTACAAACAAAAAAAAAACGTATTTTTTTCCGATCGATTTGAAGTATTTTGCAATAAATTATGTACTTTAAAATGAGATAATAAAAATTTCGTTGACAAAAGCCTGGCCTTCAACGCGATTATCACCAACCGTTTCCAAGACACATAATACCATGGATAATACTAAAGCGCCCAAAAGCTTGGTTTGTTTTAAAATTAATTTTAATCTCCAATCAGAGCCATGGTCTCTTACAAAACTAATTTTAATCTCCGCTCATAGGAGTGGAGATATTTTAACAATACGTGGAAAAGACGTAACCCGAAGTAGTATAACAATCTGATTACTCACCAGACAAATGACAAAAACATGTTTGCTTTTTGCTAAAAATCAGCTATTATTAGTCAAAACAAATGTATTATACAGCTTAAACATAATATGTACATAATCCAATAGGGAATACTTATTCCATCTAAAATTTTTATGATGAATTAATTTCCAATTCAATCATTTCATTTTTGCGATGAATTTTAATGTGTTGAGCCAAACCGAGTTTATTCTTAAAAGTCTTGTCACAAAATGGGCACATATGATTACGTCCTTCTTCGTGTGTTAATTTGTGCTGCAACATTGTTTTCTTTGTTTTGAAACCTTTACCACATACATCACATTTGATGTCTCGTATGTCGGTATGTGTTCGTAGATGATTATTCAGCTGATCCTTCTTGTAGAACCCCTTCGAACACACTGGACAATGATGCAAATATTGTTTCTGATGTCGTCTTTTGTGTGTTTTAAACGCTTGGCTGTGTCGATATGAGGCTCCACAAATTTCACAACAATATGGTTTGGATCCCGTGTGACAACGTGAGTGAATTTCCAGGTCGGCTGGCCGGGAGAATTTCTTGCCACATTCTTTGCATTCATAGCGCAGATCGTTCATATGTCTTCTGGCATGCGCCATATAGGCATCCGTTGTTTTGTATTCTTTTTTACACAACGAACATGTTAAAGGTATTGTGCCATCATGTTCCGCCACATGCACCTTCCAATTGAGTGGACTCAGAAATGAACGATTACAATCTGTGCATTTAAATGGGCCCACATGATCTGTGAGAAATACCAGATGCTTGTACAAATCGAATCTTTCTTTTGTGGTGCGGAAACTGTTTGTACTGTTACGTTTCTCTTTGGTGAAGAACGCATGAATGGTGTGTAAATATCTTCGAATGTTATTGATATTCACTTTAATGCCCATTTCGTTGTCGATCAATTTCTGCATTTGTGACAAGGCTTCTGAACGCTTGTTGGTACAAACGTTTTCAATTAATTCGCTATTCCAAAGAACCGGCAGACGTTTGTATATTCCAAAAATGTGTATAATTTGTTCAATTTCCAATGGCGGTTGACTCGAATCCAAATTAAAAATAGAACAATTTTCTATGTAAGGTTGTAAAAAGTCCATTTGTTCGTAGAACCAGGAACGTGTATTTTTGATTTTGTTATTTTCGGCGCCAAATTCATTTGCCCGTTTTAAACGTTCTCTGTAATCGTGTCTTAGACGAGCTATTATAGCGGCAACTTCCTTACTTGTTACCTGTACATTAATTCTATCCTTAATTTCATCGGCAATTTTCTGTAAACATTTCGGACGTTCTTTGGCCCGTACTTCGGGTGGATTGTTACTGTTCCACAAATATGGTTGTTTCTTATAGGCAGCTATTATTGTGGTTACATTCAATTTAATACTCATGAAATTACGAACAAACATTGATGTTTTGCTATCTTCACCGTCGTTATCCTGAGAAAAAGAGAACATTTCAAAAATTATAGTAAAACAATCTGATTATATGATACCTACTTCATCTTCAGACTGGTCCAATTCGAGCATACATTCTTCTTCGTCGGCTTGATTTTCATCAATTTCCTTTTCCGTTCCTTCCTCATCATCTGGTTCTTCTTTGGAACTATTAAGAGCTTCGATTTTCTCATCGAGATATTCCTCTGCAGTATCAATTACTGATATGGTATCCTAGAAATACATAGTTATTCATGGTATCCATCGTAATGATATATTTACCATAGAATCGTTCGTTCCACTTACCATTTCATCTAGTTCCATTTCGGATAAAATTTCATATTTTACAGTCACTTTTTCCTCCACCTCCTCACCATTGTTCTCCTCGCCTACAAACATGTCATCTATTAGTGCCGAGACCGAGGACTTCTCATCGAGCTCTGCAATGTTTTGTTGATAGTGACCCAAACAATGCTCTATCAACATGTCCATTTCTGTATAACAATCCTCACATTCTATACATTTCAATATGTACTGGTCTTTGTAGTCCAATGACGGGGACAATAGTATTTCTCCACATTTTATATATTCCAAATAGTCACACATCTTTATTTTGTTTATTCAATTTCTCCAAGTTGTTCGAGCGTTAGTTGATGAAGAGCCTCATCTGCGCCCTGTTGCCATATACTGAATGAACCGACCTCATTTAAAAACGTTCCATTTGCAACGAATGGAAAATGGGTGATAAATAATTAACTCGAAACAAAGTTGTCGTTGAAGCTTTGTTTACGAAGGAATGAAGTGGCATAAGGCCGATATCATTTGTTTAGAAACGGATATGAAGGAATGAAATCAGTTGAAAAGACATTGTAAATGAACGGTCGGAAAGATTTTTCTGTTGTGATATTCACTGTGAAATGATTGCTCATCGTGCCATTGTGTAAAATTGTTATAGAAGGTTTATATAATTGACAATTTAAACTCACTGCAAGACAGGAGGGAATGAGGTGAATGATAAAAAAACAACTCTGTAGATAGTGGCTTCTTCTGTCAAATATAAAAAGGATACGCAATTAATGGTTGTGCTAATGTGACATTTTTTCTCAAACTATAGGAGGTGAAGCAAATGTGGTATATTTTTTTTTAGATTGCCAAATTGTTATTTATTATCCGATTAAATTGAAATTTTACACTTAAGATGCTACATGGGATGTCTTTAAATGTATCAATTTGAAAATAATATTATTCTAACTATTTAAGAGATATTTGAGAAAATATTTAAAATTCCATTAAAAGTGATTTTAAAAAAAGTGTAGGTAATGTGGTATACCACATGATGTTAATGTGGTATAGTATAATTTTCACTTCCAATTTATATGTTATATAATTTATTGTTTTTAATGAATGCGAATTAGCTCGAGATTTGTCTGTTAAGATTTTTAACGGATACGTTAAGTGGAACTTTAATTTTTATTACATAATAATGTCTACACATGGCAATATTTAATTTTTGTATGCAGAAGTTGTTAAAACTCATAGCCTTTGTTTTTAATCCTTGTGATTCATGGTATACTCTCGTAGAGTACAAATGTTTCAAATAGTAATGAGATTTTGCCTACTGCTGGCTTTTTTCATGCAGACTCAAGGTATACCACATTACCTGAACTTGTGTTTTCTGAAGAAATTTCTATTTTTTTCCTAAATTGGTGATTATGTGGTGCAATCGCGCATATTATTTGATTTTTAGTTCGTACTAAGTATTTTAAAGTTTTAGTAACAACGATTAAATGAAAAAAATTAATAGAAAAATGTGATTTCTTCCAAAAATCCAGAAGAGAATATTATGAAATGTTTGATCCTTTACAAAGTATATGCTAAAGAATGATTTAGATATTGAATCATTAACAAATCATAAATTTCTTTTTCCCAAAGTTGTACAATTCATCTCAAAAAATGGATTTTAGAACATATTTTTTATATTTTTCAAAACATTACATACATTATCACACTATTTGTATACGACATTGGAATAACAAGACATAATATGAAAAAAATTTTAATTTATGAGTTGCTATGGACTAACTTAAGTAATTGTACCATAATTGTAATAATATTTCTATCCATAACACTAAATAATTTTACTTTCAAATGCTGTAATTTTAAATTTTAATTACAACTGAATTTGAATATATACATATATATATTTTTTTTGTATTTTTCAAGAAATAAACATATATGGTCTGTCCCAGTACTTTTTTTAATATTAAATGGTCTGTTCCGTACTGCAAGAATGTACTAAATTTTACTATTTTCTCCGATATCATAAAGGAAAATTCGTTATCGTAGTAAAAATTAATAGATTCTTGCAATACGGGAACAGACCAAAAGCTAGTAAAAAGGAAACATTTCAAAATCGCTCTCAGAGTTCAAAATAATTTCAAAAGTTCGGGAACGAAAATCTAGTAAATATGCCAAAACTAGATGACAATACTTCAAAATCAACATAACAGCCAGCTTACCATTTTTACTTGGCTAAATTTCTCGAGTTTTCAAATTATTTTGTACTCTGGAACAGACCAAGGTGTATTTAATAAGGTGTAAGTGACAATAATATGGTTTCAAACTTTTTTCTTTATTGTTGGTAAAGCAAATTGTCAAAAACATTTTCAACAACATTTCGATTTCAAAATTGGTCTTTAAATGTATGCTTTTTAATAATAAAAATTCAAGAAAACTACATTCATATAGGCGGACGGAAAAAATAGCCTAATCTTAAATCAGGTATAACAACGTTCGCCGATTGATACACATCTTTTATGTTATATGTGGAAATCTGTCTGGCGGGGGTTAAATACGCCTATGGAAACATTTTATACGGTCAACACGATTTCCATGATTTAGTCTTTGGCCAGGGATTTATGTCCCTTCAATTTTCTTTAAGAAGGCAAGATTTGAAGCCACTCCATAGAAAAAATAGATTGTAATTCACAATATAGCAAGATCACAAGGAGCCATGGGCTGCATGTAGGAAACTTAAATTAATCGCGACCAGGTCGTAAACTATATTTTTCACTGACCTAAAATTACCAATAACCCAAGAATACACAAATTCATTAATTATTCCACAAAATATCCTTGGCAAACATAAATTAATAATTGTTTTTGTTTATTTTTGTCAAAAACCTATTGTCAGCATGACAATTTAATTTCTATAACAACAATGTTAAATACATCTTGGAACAGACCATATATTAATTGATTTTATTGGACAGAAAAGGGACACCACAGGAAAATATTGTAATCAACAAATATTATAAACCTATTTCTTGTTATTGAACCATGTTATATTCAACTTCTAAAACAGGCTCGTTAACTTCAAATACAATATGAATTTTTTCGAAAATTCTCCGTCGATCATTTATATTTTATCATGGTATAAGGTAACAGCGAGCATGGTACAATAACAAGAGGTAGGCTTACTTGTCGAAATTAATTAACCGTTGTTGTTGTAGCAGCCCTAAGTTAAATCTGAATTTTAAAATATTTTATGTTTTTGTCCTTTTCAAAACATTACATTCGCATATAAAAATTGAGTTATTATTTTGACAGAACAGTAGCACACAAAAGAAAAATTTGTAATCAGGAGTTACCATTATTCTACCTCTTATTATTGTACCATGGCAAAAAGTGTTGTTGTACAACAAACGATACAACAACCACATGGAAATTTGTTGTTGTAATAATAGTGCCAATGTCATTTAACCAAAAAATGTGAACAAAACATAATTTATCAAAAATGTTATTTATTTCAAAATAAAATATTTTGAAATCCTCAAAATGAAGATCTATCAAATTTATATTGTTACGAATATAAATTTAGATTTAAGTTAATTTAGATGAATTCCGTTAATTTAAGAATTTGAATTGTAACGTAAATTTGTACTACGCAGTTTATTTGAATAACTTCACAACAACAACTACTGTTTAGATTTTTCTACATCCTTCCATTTCCTCTTTCATTTTCTATTTTGTTATTGTCGTACAATTCTTGTTAAACGTCATCATTGATGATCGCTTAATTCCTCTTCCTTTGTTACCCCCTCGCCTGTATATGTGTTGTTGTTATTGTTTACTCAATGTAAGTTTGTATGTGTTGTTGTTATTGTTCACTCAATGTAAGTTTGTATGTGTTGTTGTTATTTTTCACTCAATGTAAGTTTGTATGTGTGTTTGTTGCATTGGTAGATTGTTCGTGATCTAGGTGTTACCAGATCGTCTAGAAACTTCTGTAGCTACAAGCAAGGCTCATATAAATAGGGGAAATGGAAAGGCAGTGAGTCAGTTGTGAATCAGATCGCGAATTGAAACCGTCGTGTAAAGTAAAGTGCAAAGTAAAGTTGTGTGAATAAAATCATTGTAATAATCGTAATCAGAACGAACCCGCGTTTTATTTGGTACGAACTGTATCGGGAAATAAAACAACGTCTACACGGGAATAAGTAAAGCCCAAGAACGTAACAATTGGTGTCAGAAGTGGGATTACGATAATACTACGATGAAGTTTAAGGATATACGAGTGGAAGACTTGGAAGTGGAAGTGGAAGGAGCTGAATAAATTGGAATTGTCCTCTACTGGCAACAAGGCTGAACTACAAAAACGTCTGTTGGATGAGTTCGAGCGCCGGGGTATGAACATCGATACATATGAGTTTGACAGTAAGGATGAAGTGGATTTATCGGAAATGGGCGAATCCAACGGTGGGGAAGTCTCGTCAGTAGCTGTCAGGGGTGACGATTTCAGAGAAATGCTGGCTAAAATGTTCGAAGAGAATTCCAGAAACAAGAGACGAATGTTCGAAGAGAATTCCAGAAAGTCAGAAGAAAACTCGAGACGAATGTTCGAAGAGAATTCCAGAAAGTTAGATGAACTCAAGGCAGAGAATTGTAGAATGAACAAGAAACTAGAGAACATTACAGAAGTTAGACGTTACAAGACTTTGCAGCTGAGGTGGAACGTTTGGTGCTAATGGCGTATCCAAGAGAGAATCACCCATTGGTGGACCGTATGAAAATCGAAACCTTTGTGAATGGCATACTAGACCCTGAGATTAAGTGTGCAATATATGCGTCACCAAAAGCGTCATTTGCCGAAACTGTGTCGTTTGCCCTTGCCCAAGAGACGGCATGGATAATTGTTAAGCCTCAGACCCACAAGATTCGTCAACTGGAGACCGAATGTTGCGAACCCAAAGCTCTCGTTAACTCGATCAAGGACGCAATGAGGCAGGTAATAGAAGAAACAAAGTCAGTAGGGATGACTAAGCGCAGGATTAGATGCTTCAACTGCGATAAAGCAGGTCATATTGCGCGCGAATGCAGAGCTAAGCGCAAACGATCCAGGTCATCGTCACCACCTCCAACGAAAGATGGTAGAAGAATGGCTCAACAGTCCACCAATGAGTCACCGTTAAACTAAATCGAGCCAGTCCAGCGGGGCATGAACTGGCTCCCATCGACGATGGCCCCACAATCTCCATAGCAATAGTACAACAGAAAAGTCACAACCTAACAACAACTGGGTACATCAATGATGATAAGCGAGTTCTGACGTTAGATACAGGCGCATCAAAGTCCATCATAAGATCAGATCTGGTAAAGGGAAAAATAACGCAAATTAATGGAGTCAGACAGCGCACAGCAACGGGGGAGCCCGCGGCAGTACACGGCAAGATTACCCTAAGACTGACTATTGCCAATAAATCGGTGAATTACGAGTTTATAGTTGCCGATATCGTAGACGAAGTGATAATAGGCGCAGATTTTATGATTGCCTTCGGTATCAATCTGGATATGAAAGAGCGTGTGATGACCTGGTCTAACGTTGAAATTCCGTTAAACGTGGGCTACGATGAAAGTACACCCATTAGACGTCTGACTACGGACCATCCAGAGATAATACCGCCGTGTGCCGAAGCAATAATATGGGTACCAATGAATGGAGATTGTGGAGCCGAGAAGTTGTGGGTGGTGGAACCAGCAGAAAACATAAACAGTAACATCCTAATAGCGAATGCCCTGGTGAAAAGCAACAAGGACGGATTGATTTCTGTTAGAGTTTTGAACCTGTCAAACAAGCAAGAGCAAATTTGCCAATTTTCCGATGTTGGACAATGCACACCAGCTGAAGCTGTAATAAATTTGGAAACTAGCACCGAAAAGCCAGCAGCCATGGAGAAGAAGCACCTCGACGGCTACATAAAAGAGTGGACACACCAATTATCACCTTCCGAGAGGAACAAGGCTAAGCAGCTATTATGGAAATATGCCTCTACCTTTGCGTTGACAAAAGAGCACCAGGGAATAACATCAGTGGTGAAGCATGAAATCCATACAGCAGACGCGAGACCCATTAAACAGCCTCCAAGAAGTGTTCCCCTGGCGAAAAGAGACGAGGTCCAGAAGCTGATAAGTGAAATGGAAAAGAGTGGTGTAATAGAACCATCGTCAAGTCCATGGTGCTCCCCAGTGGTCTTGGTCAAGAAGAAAGACGGAAGCACCCGATTTTGTGTGGACTACCGAAAGTTGAATGATGTCACCAAGAAAGACAGCTATCCGCTCCCAACGTCATGGTTCTCCACCCTCGACCTGCAGAGTGGGTACTGGCAAGTAGAGATCGCCGAGAAAGATAAAGAGAAAACAGCGTTTGGCGTTAATGGGGGTCTCTGGCAGTTCAATGTCATGCCATTCGGACTCTGCAACGCCCCGGCTACATTTGAAAGGCTGATGGATCGTGTGTTAAAAGGGCTGCAGTGGAAGTCGTGCCTCATATACCTGGATGACATCATAGTCATGGGACGCAACTTCGACGAACACATCAAGAACTTAAAGGATGTTCTACAGCAGCTTTCGTCTTCAGGCCTCAAGCTGAACCCAAAGAAGTGCAGTCTCTTCCAACGAGAAGGAAGTTCCTGGGGCACCACGTGACGCCGGAGGGCATATCGACGGATAAGGAGAAAATTCAAGCCGTCAGAGATTGGCCGCAGCCCCGAAATATCCATGAGCTGCGAAGCTTTCTGGGTCTCTGCACATACTACCGTCGATTTGTCCAAAATTTTGCCAACATCGCCGCCTGTCTACACCGCTTGACGCAAAAAGGCCAGAGGTTTCAGTGGGGCAACGACCAGGAGAAGGAGGCATTCAGAAAGCTCAAAGACATGCTATGCAGAGCCCCCATTTTGGCATACCCTATACCTGGCGGCAAGTTTGTTCTGGACACAGACGCAAGTGCGTGCGGCATCGGCATCCTTTCCCAGGAAATCGACGGACAGGAAAAAATCATCGGGTACTACAGCCGGACATTGTCGAAGCCTGAGAGGAATTACTGTGTGACGAGGAGAGAGCTGCTTGCTGTCCTTGAGAGCGTTAAACACTTCCACAAATACCTATATGGCCAGCATTTCCTGCTGAGGACCGACCACGCTGCTCTCCAATGGTTGCTGCGGTTTAAGAATCCGGAAGGTCAACTAGCCCGTTGGATCGAGAGGCTCCAGAGTTATGACTTCAAAATCGAGCACAGAAAAGGCGGAAAACACGGTAATGCTGATGCCCTGTCTCGTCGGCCATGCAAGGTAGAATGCAGGCATTGTTCAAAGGCTGAGTGTAAGGAGAATATCGTTGATGTCCGGCTATTGCAGTTTGAGTCGGGTGAAGATTGGTCGACGGAACAACGAGGGGATCCCATTCTGGGCAAAATAATTTCGGCCATAGAAACGGGCAAGCGACCTAGTCGCAAAGAAATTACCTCCGAAAGCCCTCTTTTAAAATCCTATTGGGCCCAGTGGGACAGTCTGCTTATAAAAGATGGTTGCCTATATCGCAAATGGGAAAGTGAGGACGGTAAATCTCACCGGAATTTGATCGTCGTCCCAGACTCCAAAATAAGAGATGTCTTATCGGAGTTTCACGATGGGCCAAGTGGAGGACATCTTGGCATAGCAAAGACGGCTGAAAAGGTAAAGCAGAGATTCTACTGGGTCGGCTGTCAAAAATCCATTGCCGACTGGATCGCCAATTGTGAAAGGTGCGTAAGAGCTAAAGGTCCAACACGGAAGAGTCGAGGCTACATGCAGCAGTATAATTCAGGAGCCCCTTTTGAAAGAATCGCAATGGATGTAGCTGGACCGTTCCCCTCAAGCGACTCTGGGAACCGGTATGTCTTAGTGTCATAGATTACTTCAGTAAATGGCCAGAGGTTTATGCTATCCCAAATCAAGAAGCCAGGACAATTGTGGATGTGTTCAGCAAAAATTGGATTTGTCGCTATGGTGTTCCATCTGAGGTTCATTCCGATCAAGGTAGGAATTTTGAATCAGCGATCTTCAAGGAAATGTGTGACTCCTACGGAATCAAGAAAACCAGAACGACGCCCCTACATCCACAATCAGATGGCATGATGGAGAGATTCAATCGCACCCTGGAAGAACATCTACGGAAAGTGGTGGACAGTGGCCAACGAGACTGGGATGAGCATATTCCAAAGTTTTTACTGGCTTATAGATCGGCCATTCATGATTCCACATCCCGGACCCCAGCCAAAGTTCTGTTCGGAAATGAATTAAAGCTACCTGGCGATTTGATATTCGGTGCTACCCCAAACGACGATGTGAACCAAGATGAAGACAGTCAAAACTCTTTTAGTAAAGTCCACGATGCAGTCCGACATCGAATAAAAATGGTTAGCAACCGCATGAAGGCAAGGTACGATCGAGCGGCAAATACCGATGGGTTTCAAGAAGGGCAACTGGTACTATTGTTCAACCCACAACGAAATTGCAAACGCACTGGGAAGGACCCTACAAGATTGTCACGAAAATAAATGACGTCGTTTATCGCATCCATAGGAGCGACAGTCCCAGGTCGAAGATGAAAGTTGTACATTTGGAGCGGCTGACCCCCTACGGAACGGGAACTGTGCCTATTCGGGACGAACAGGCTTAAGCGGGGGGCAATGTTACGAATATAAATTTAGATTTAAGTTAATTTAGATGAATTCCGTTAATTTAAGAATTTGAATTGTAACGTAAATTTGTACTACGCAGTTTATTTGAATAACTTCACAACAACAACTACTGTATAGATTTTTCTACATCCTTCCATTTCCTCTTTCATTTTCTATTTTGTTATTATCGTACAATTCTTGTTAAACGTCATCATTGATGATCGCTTAATTCCTCTTTCTTTGTTACCCCCTCGCCTGTATATGTGTTGTTGTTATTGTTTACTCAATGTAAGTTTGTATGTGTTGTTGTTATTGTTCACTCAATGTAAGTTTGTATGTGTTGTTGTTATTGTTCACTCAATGTAAGTTTGTATGTGTGTTTGTTGCATTGGTAGATTGTTCGTGATCTAGGTGTTACCAGATCGTCTAGAAACTTCTGTAGCTACAAGCAAGGCTCATATAAATAGGGGAAATGGAAAGGCAGTGAGTCAGTTGTGAATCAGATCGCGAATTGAAACCGTCGTGTAAAGTAAAGTGCAAAGTAAAGTTGTGTGAATAAAATCATTGTAATAATCGTAATCAGAACGAACCCACGTTTTATTTGGTACGAACTGTATCGGGAAATAAAACAACGTCTACACGGGAATAAGTAAAGTCCAAGAACGTAACAATATTTCTATCGTTTCCATATCTTTCCTCTAATTGAGTCATTGCTAGAAATTGCGAGTTAATCCATGAAGAAAAATTGAATACGGGAGGACATTTTTTATAAAGAACAATTTCGAATTGTATGCGTACCCAATTTTCCTGTTGGGACATTTTTAAAAACATAATATGTCGTATTCATATTGATACGAGTATTATGTTAGAATCAAATCAGTATTATGTTAGAATCAATCAGCCTTTTATAATATTTTATAAACCTTCTATAACATTTCACGCAGTAGCACGATTAGCTACCATTTTACAGTGCATTGCACGACGGGAATATCGTTCCGTCCGTTCATTTCACAGAGATTCATTCCTTCATGTCCGTTTCTAAACAAAACGATATCGGCGTTATGCATCACCTTCATTCATAAACAAAGATCTTAACGTCCATTTTGTTTTGAGTTTGGTAATTATCGCCAATTTTCTCCTTGCTGCTCTATTCATTGTAAGTGGAACGTTTTTCAACAGATAATTGGTTCATTCATAACAAAAAAGGGCGCAAAGGAGGTTTTCCAACAACAAACGGTCGGACGAATTGGACATTAGGATAGGCTTGTTATTAGCTTCAAATAATGGAGGATTATATCGAATATATACTATGTGGAGAAATATTGGCATCAACTTCAATATCTTCCAAAGATCAATATTTTCTAAAATGCAACGAATGCAATGGTTATTATTCCACTCTCGATGAGTTCATTGTTCATCATCAGTCGAATCATAACGATGAGACATTGGATGGTTCACAAACTGAATTGATAGAGGAGGAAAATGAAGAATATTTGGAAATCTATTCACCTTTGTCGGTCAAGTCGGAGCAACCGGATGAAGGTTGTGCTGATAAACATGTTAAGCTGTCTACAAAGGGCGACTGTGAAAACAAAACAGAGATTGTGGAAGAAGGTTGTGCTGATGGACATGTTAAACAGTCTCCAAAGGGCGATTGTGAAAACGAAACAGAAGTTGTGGATATAAAATCAAATAGTTCACCTCAACATTCAAAGGAATTACCTGTTGATAATTGTATAAAAGATGAAATAGATGATGGGGAAGGTTTTAAAGGATTTGAAAGTGATGATGAGATGGTAAGTTTTATGGAATAAGATCATGTTTTATATTTATTGTAAACAATGTTATTTTGCAGGACCCTCTAGAGCAATCATTGGGCAAGGAAATGGAAGATCAGCTGAATGAAGAAGACAATGAGTATATTTGTTCCGAATCAGAAGATGAGGTAAATATGAAAATAATATGTATAAATAAAATACAAAGGCTGCAATGATTTATATTTTTTAATGAATTACCTATATCGGACGGAATGAATCTGGATCAGATTGAGTTGAGAGGCATATCTCAGATTTAAATTTTTTTTTTTTTAATATATGGCTTTTATGGGTATGTCCTTACTTCCCGAGATATGGGCTTCTGAAGTTCGTGAATTCATATGCTCATAATATCGTCATCTATGAAACGATGATGGTAATATGGGTAGAAATTTTCCAAAATACACGACCTTTGGTCGGGGATTTGGTACTTTCTGCTATGGACAAAGAAAAACTCGGCTAAGCCATCAAATATTCTTGTAAACTAGAAACTTTCGAGATGAGCACCTTAACTTAAGCCCAATAAACAGTCGGATATGGTCATAAATATAGCTTTTCATTTAGTAAATTATAAATTATTTTGTATTTCCTTTCAGTGGGAACCAGAAGATAATAAAACTAAATTATTTGTTCGCCAATTTTTAAAATCGGAGAAAAACTTCATGGCATTTATAGAGGCATATAAAAAACAGCCACGTCTATGGAATTGGAAACAATACCCGTCAAAATTTAAAACCAACAAAGAACGTGAAATATATTGGTCAAAAATTGCCAATGATATCAAAAGTAATTTAAATATAGACATGACCAGTAGCTATGTATCGGCTGTCATACGGCGTATTCGAAATGGCTATGCTATTAAATTAAATCGCCTCAAATCGAATGAGCAACGTGGTGGTACACTAAAGAGTAGAACAATTCCACAATGGTATTTCGATAAAATGAAATTTCTTGAACCATTTTTGAATAATTATTCAATTGTTGAAATTGGTACACAACGAGAATCATTAGAATCGAAACAGATCACACAACTTCTACAGATATATAAAAGGTTTCCGCATTTATGGAATACAAATTTAGTGGAAAATGTTTGTACCAATAAACGTAACGATGCTCTGAATCAAATGATAAAAACTCTAAAGGAGGAAATGTCACTGCAGGTTGATGAGATTGCCCTTAAGAAATATTTGTATTGCATCCATGGCCACTTTACGACCGAAAAATCCAAAATACAAAACCAGAAGTCTTCATCCAAAGACATATCGATGTATTATGAACACATGACATATTTAGATGAACACGTTGGCCCTTTCTTTTGTTCAGAGTGTAATAAGAAACACAAGAACCCATTGCAGTTGAAAGTCCACGAAGCACTGGCCCATGGCCTGGAACCGCTGAAATGCCCACTCTGTACGAAAACATATACCAATGTCCAGGCGTATACATTTCATGCTCGACGACACATGAACGACACCAGTGAAATGTGTAAAATTTGCGGTAAAACATTTATAAAAGTTGTAGACCTAAAGGCTCACATGCGTGGACACAATGGCATTAAACCGTATTTCTGTGAAATATGTGGTGCCTCGTTCACGATGCCATCATCGTTGACGGAACACAAAAAACGACACGATACAGAAAGTAAAGAGCATTGTACAATTTGTTCCAAAGAGTTCTTTAGCAAGCGCCGACTGAATATGCATCTTCAAACTCATTCCAACGAAAGAAATTTCATTTGCAATACTTGCGGCAAAGCCTTTAAAACTAAGAAAACCATGCGAGCACATGAAACGATTCACGAAGATAGTCGAAATCATCCCTGTCCCGTTTGTGGTAAAATGTTTAAAAATAGAATTGGTGTTACACAGCATTTGAGAACGCATCGGAATCAAGCTGAAACTTCATCAAATCCCTTTATAGATAGTTGAGAATCAATGTAATGAATTTGTATTGAAGTTTGTTTGATTTTATTTAAGTAGATTTTATATTTATATAGAGAGTACAATTGTATATAAATAAAAAACGTATAAAATGAATATATTTAATATATCTGATTGACTATTTTATAGTCGTTGATAAGAAACTACTATCGGATCTAGGCTTTATAACGACTCGACCAATTATTTTCCTCCAGATTAGTAAAAAAACTCCAGCGGATTTGCTCTAAACAATGTTGTTGTTGTTGTTGTAGCAGTTTGTATGAATTGCATGTTTTCTGTTATGTTTCCTCCAGTTCTGTCTCCAGATTCAGAAATGCAGCTACCTCCACTGGCTGTAACCACAGATCTTCCGGAGTGAGGTGAGTAGGTTTGGCTGGGCAATTGAACAAGTGCAGTGTGGTATGAGGGCCTGTACCACATGCTGGACAGACATCCTGCACCTGGTCATCAATCCGTGCCCAATACGAATTGAGCCGACTGCACCATCCAGAACGTAACTGAGCCAAAACTACTCTGGTTTGTCTAGGCAGCTGACGTTCTTCAGCTGCTATGGGTGGGGGGTGAGCTCCGAGGACGGCATTCACTTTGTAACCGTTCAGCGCTGCGGCTACTGCATCTGTATGAATGCCATTCAGACCTGCTCGATAGGCAACTTGATCTAGAGGCTCCCTTTATAATGTTGATCATTGTTGGTGCTTCAACACCACCTCAATCAGTAGCATATCGATGAACAACAGTACCTTTTGTCCGCGTTTTAGGGGATTTCAATGCCCACCTTGAGTTATGGCATTCCGTCCTAGGTTATGACCAGAGGAGTACAGCGCTGGCAGTGACAAACCCGAAGAGATGCGCGTGCTAACCGCCTGTAACGGTTAAATCGCATAAGGGCAATCCGAGCCGAAAAGATACCTCCACAATTTACGAAAGAGGGCGTTGCAGATGTCATCAAAAACGCCAAGTCGTTAAAAGACTTAATCGGCTGGATGAACCCGGAGTTGAGTCGTTAACCACTCACATAGTTCCTAAAGCCTAGAAAATAGTCAGGGTGGTCCCGCTACTAAAGCATGACAAGGCACTAGCAGGAGTGAATCGTACATGCCGATTTAACTCCTGAAACCAGTAGCAAATATACTTCAGGCGCTATTCCTCCCACCGACGAGAAACAGTATTCCAGTTACCCAACCTCAGCATGTATTCCCCCTGCAAGCATTTTTTATCGCCTATGTAAAAAAACAGTCACTTAAATTCTGGTATAGCATCGTCGGCGACAATCGCTTTCTTATCGAAAATCATAAAGATCACGGGAATAGTTGTACCACGTCCGCGATAGTACTTGGTAGGATCTTCTCCGTGACCACTATGAGTTACTCAGGCGATAAAGTTTGTAGTAACGCAGGCGTGGTACAACTCTTCCCGTGAACTTTATCGTTTTCGATAAGAAAGCGATTGTCACCGACGATGCTATACCAGAATTTAAGTGTCTGTTTCTTTACTTAGGCGATCACATTAAATGTTCAAGTGTTTTAGTCTACGCTCAAGGATATGTCTGCATTTCACTAATTTCATTTTTATGTGATATTTTTTACTTTTTTATATACAAAAACCTTTCGATTTCATTTCATAGTAAGTGTATAATTTACCAAGCGTTTGACACGTAAAAATTTTTCACTTCATCACAAATGTCTAAAAAATAAAAATAACTACATATTTATTTGCTTATTTTAAATATCACTTCACTTTTTCCACATACACAAAATATAACATTCTATTTTTTCACTTTAATTTCAACACTGTAACACTATAACCGATCTCAACGCAATTCACGAATAAACTAAGTCTGTTTAATTTTGTCTAGTTTCCACAATTCGAGAATAACTGTAAACTATCGCTTTTACATGGAAGTGAAGTTACGAAAAAGATACTGAAAGAAGTTAAATGTAACGGTGCAATACAATTGTTATTGTAAATCGCCTTTTTAAAAGAAAGAAGTTACGAAAATGACACATTTTTCTCTTGGAAGATAAAACTCACTTCCAAATGCTTGCAGGGCCGTAAGATGCACAGCACTGTATTACACGCAATTTCCTCACACACGAAAGGCCATGCAACCGAATAGTTATGGTGGCACTTGACCTATCGAAGACATTCGATACCGTCAACCATGCCATGCTGTTATAGGACATAGAGAAGATAAATCTCCGGCCGTGTTTGAGATGTGTTATGTGTGGGCTTCAGTCAAATGTGGAATTCAGAAACAAGAAGCCACAAAGTGAAACAGAGAGCTCCCCAAAGAAGGGTCATATATCCGGAATTGTGAGAGGTTAAATTTCTACGTATCTGATCTTGTG